TGCTCTCATGTCCTTTCATTATTTTTGTTTTTTTCGTGGGATCATGGTATTTGTGTCTTTTATTCATTTTTACACATCAACAAAAAGGAGGAGGTGAGGGAAGATTTCCCTGAGGCATTTTGCCCCAAACCACTAGGAGTCATCTTGCCCCAGATGTGGATTTTTCACATTTTTATAATCAGTAAAATCATTTAAATTTTTTTTTCACATGAATCTCCTATTTGCATTACCAAGAGTCTGCCTCTGTCAAAACAAACAGCTCCTTAAAAACCAATGAGGAAAAATTCGATCAAGTTATCTCAAAATTTGCAGAGTTCCCAGAGAGGAGTGACCACCGAAACCAAACCCCTGAAATGAGGCACTTAGTGTTAGTGTGTGTTAGTCGAGTTGTTCCTTGATAGCCAGATAGCAGCGAGCTTGTTTCAATCAAATTATATGTTTATGGGAAGTGTACTAGCATATTAGCATATTAGCAGTACGTGATGTGGTTGAGATCAACATCACAATATTTATAGCTTTCCGTTATCAATACACGGTACATTGTGATATGTGAAATGTATGCAAAATGATGTGAAATGAACAATTAACATTAAACATATTGATTTTTCACAGCTGTGGACTCTGCTTCACTGTTATGTAAGACAAAACAAAATAACTTTGTAGTTCAGTTTATGATTACAATTTGTTTCGATTCATTAATTCCTGGGATAGAGGCTAATGAAATATGTGATGACATCATGATGCTATCAAATAGTATCATCACAATACAATTCTGTGATCAATAAGAGATTGTAAGAGATTATAATGACTTATTGCTCAGTCAAACTGTATCATGCACTCCAAATGTCATGTACATTAATAACTTAACATAATGTAAACTGAAGAATCATCCATTGAAGATATTTAACTGTTTCCTCCATGGTCCTCAGGCACTTTAAATTCATTGAACAGCCCCTCGAAATGTGCAGATATCAAATGCAGACAGTTTTGCCTCAAGCTAAAAGTCTGCTCTTTTCCTTTAGTTTGTTTTCACTGATCCTGCTCAGCTTTAGTTTGATTTGTGTCTGTGCTGCGTGGCAGGATGTCGTTTTCCTTCTAGTGGCAAACATTGGAACAACAACCTCCACCTCGACTCCGGATGATGTCATCTCTTGAGCAAGAACTGTCCCCTTTATTGTATCTGAATTTTCATATCATTTAAGACATATACAGTTAAACTGGAATCAAATTGTGGCATTTGGATGATAACCAGACTCTTGTTTGGGTTAAAATATCTAAAAGAAAATACAAAAAACAAATGAAGCACGTGAGAAGAACTATTTCAGCAGCATAGTAATGCCACTGCAACAGTAGAAAAGATTACTGATCAGTGCATGTAAGAAGATAAGAATGATTTCACACAAATAACACACTTCCTTCCAAGTCAGCCTATGTCATGTGTTTGTGATTATTTGAAGAAAAAGTACTAGATCCTGGCAGTTTTTTTTAACATTTTGTCTTGGTGTGTGGTAGAAATGAACACAATAAAGCCGTGGCTATAAGGTGTATATAAACTGTATGTAAAGAGTAAAGACTATGACATCAACTCATCATCCCCGTCATGTCTGCTCACTAGCAAGGAGTCACACAGTCTATCTGTCAGCCAGAGCACAAATGGCTGCTTCCTGTATTCTTCTCCCAAACACCCAAGGTCAGGCAAGGTCAGCAGAACTGTGCCTCGTTGCTCCCTCTCTTCCCAATGTGGCACGTGTTTCCCCTGACAACAGCGTCCCTCAGGTCCAAAACAAGCTGACACACTTTAAGCCAGTTTGACGGCACCGAGGAAGGTGACGTCTCCGTCCAGGGACACGTTGGCTGTGGAACGGGGGATCAGAAGCTCCAAGTGGTCCCCGACCTCCAGTTTCACAATACCTGAAGGATGTAAATGTACTGTTCAGACCTTGAACTGGCATTTTCTCTTTGTTTCCCCCACTTCCACAGACATCTATCACACGTACCCAAACTACTGACACACATATGCAGCCACTTAGGCAAGCAAAAACACACACGAATGCATGAGCTTGACTGAAGAGGAGAACACACTGTTTGAGCCTCCCCTAAGAGCTGCTGTAAAAAGGGTGATCATAGGCTCACCTCCTGTGTAGCAGGTGTTGAAAGGGAAGACGGGGTTCATGCTCTGGATGCAGCGGAACAGGACTGCAAAAGGATCGTCGTTTCCCACCACATTACTCTTCCACCGGATCACCACGTGACCCATTGCAAAGGTACTGTCCATGTAGAAGACCTGTGAAAATCAGAAACACTAGGTGAAATCTAGGAGGTATGGCACCGGCATTGGTTTTAACATGCATAAACAGTCAGCTGGGTGGTGTAGCATTTTCTATGTGTTTTATTTTGAGTGCATCATTTACATTTTCTCTTCAAGGTCTGCTAACCACCTCATGCTAAGATCGAGCACACCCTTTTTCATGCACTATATGGAGACATGTGCCCCCTCCTATGTAAAATCTGGTGATTGGCAGACAGAGCAGCAGCACCTCCCTGTGGAAAAACTATGCAACGACAACAAATGGACGTACCTGACTGTACACAAAGAAGAAGCCCTCCTGTCTAACTAATATGCGGTCTCCATCTGCCTCCAGGGCAGAGCCCCTCCTCAGTCCAGTCTGCCAGGGGATACCTGTGTAGAGAGTCGATTCCAATTCTGATCAAAACAAATAAGAATATATTAGACAACATGTCAAAGCACCTAAAGCTTAACATCCATCCCAGGAGCCCACCTGTTAGAGAGTTAGTTGCTGCTTGGGGTTGATGCATACATGTTTATATCATTTACTGTGTGAAATATATTTTGACTCAGTATTTATGGGTGTATTTAATGTTAACTTACAAAGCTCAAACAACAACTGTACCTTTGCTGAAGGTTGTCCTTTTCCTGTTTGCCAACAGCTGCAGGCAAGGTTGAGAAACTGTGACACAACATAGGAGAAATTTAGAGATGTTAAAAATGGTCAGCTGTGTCCTTGCAGTCTGAACGCTGCTCACTCCGTGGATGTCTCTCTTTTTCCTTCTGCCCCTTCCAATTTTCCTTGTAGGGTGAAATTCCACTGACAGCACTCAGCAGCAGTATAAACACTGGTGCCCTGTACACCCCAGGAAATGTTTAAAAAAAAAAAAAAGCAGACTCCTTACTTTGGATATAGGTATGGGTGTTTGTTTAACAGTTTTGGGGGAAGCTTTCCTTTTCTTCTTTCTTTTCTAATCCTAAAGCTCTCTGAGACACATTTGTGATCTTAAGCTACATAAATAAACTTGACAGGACGTCCTCAATCACCGTCTTAAACCCGAGAAATAGAACTGGTCACATAGTGTATTTAATATCTTTTTGGAAGTGAAGCAAAACATTTATATCACAGATTTTGCTACTAATAACTGAATCTCTTTTGCAGTTAACTGTCAGGTGTGCACCACTGTGTCTTACCTAATGTCTCTGCTCCAGCCACGACTCTCCTCTTCCTCAACAGGGTGGAAGCATATTGAGACTCAGGTTGCTGGAGGGGCTCTTGGCTGCTTCTCCTGCTACCGATATTCTCAGTCTGTACAGGCACAATACAGTCCTTAGAAACACCATAAATGAAAGTGAAATATAGTATCTTGCCAATCTTCACCAGCCTGTTCAGATGGGGTTTTGTTTTTATGTTATGAGCATAGTTGTCTCTCACCTGGCCTCCATGCTTGGCCTCTTGTCCCTCCTCTCTCCTGCGACAGACCTCTGATTTGAGTCCCTCTACCTCCGCTCTGAGAGCCACCAGTTGGTACAGGGACAAAGCGGAAAGAGAGGAGCAGGTGACAGCAGCTAGTGTCAGCAGGAAAACTGGCCAGGACAGCCTCCCTCCACCTGCTTGTTGTCCAGTCCCAGGCTTCACACCTGCCAAAACTGCCATCGCAGGGCCCATACAATCTCCCGAGAGCTCACGCCGGCAGCATGACTCGTCTCACACCTGAACTATGAGGCCTCTCTTCAAGCTTTCTCTGGAGCCTCCAGCTTTACCTTAATCACTCTCTGTAGGCTCCACTGACCCTCCTAACTCTCACTTTTATTCACTTGTGGCCAGTTCCAGTTTTAGTCGGAGGGACTACGCAGAACAAATACAGTAAAAAAAAAACAGCTTCCCGTCTACTGTTCCGCTCAGCTAACCACACTCAGCTTCCTGCCTGACCAGCAGCTCTGACGAGTCTCTCTCCCCTTCTCTTCATCCTGCTTCCTTCAAAATGATAAAGCTCATCAAGCGCAGCTTCGCCACATTCTAATAAAGTGTGTGTGCGTCACAGAGTGGGCACAGGAAGACAGACAGTCTTGGCAGTTAAGATGAGTGATTTTATACTAATAAGGAGAAAAAGACAATAAATTTGAACTTGGCAGCCGGAGGAGCCAGCACTCATCGAAAGAAGGAAGTGCAAAAATTATTCAACTGTGAATGGCAACATAACAGAAAAACAATCAAACTGCTATTCTCAGAATATAAAAAGTGAAGTGACGGCAATTTAAATGAGTCAATTTGGAACTTACACAACAAAAATCCAACACGAAAAGAAATTTCAATGTATCAATTTATTGCATGTTACAGTACAGAAAATAGAAAGTGAAAATGTGTGCTTACAAAAGAAGTTGTCAACATTGTTTCTGAAATAGAAAAAGAAACACAACTCTAAAATGGAAAACTCACTCAAACTGACTGCTTTATACTGAAGATAAAGATGAATCATTCAGATGTCTAACTGTTCACATATCCCATCAACGTTTCTTCAGTGTGGGGTTACTGGAAGTCATGGTAGATGTACACAAAATCATGTCGTCACTGTGCAGCTTCATTACAGAAATTTACCAAGACTCAACATAATCACATGCCAGCTTGCAAATGCAACTTGTAAATTCTAAATTATGCCAGCACTTTCAACAGCATTGATTCCACTATTCATAATCGTATGAACATATAAAAATATGTTCCACAGTGTACACAGTACCTGGCAAGTGATTTTCTTTATAAAAAATGAAAAGACATTCAGTTTGAACAGGGTGTTGGACAAAACACTTGCCTAGGATAAAAACTCTAATATTCTATTAATTATTAAATTTGCTTTAGGCCAACCACCAAAACAATAAATCAAATAAATGATGACAAGTTCCCACATCTTTTCTTGAATGAAGAAATGGCACAATGCAAACTAACAGCAGAAGTGTGTAAAGCGAAGCGTGTGAAACAAAATCAGTGTATATTCACATGGTTGAATTCAGATTGCACAACGGGCTCTCCCAATGTGTGATGGGATAAAAATCTTTAAACTGGATGCATCAAACTCAGCTCATGGATTTGATATAATACAAAAATATCTGAAACTGTTCAGTGCCACTGGTGGAAAAATGTCACACACAAGGGAGAAAAGACTATAAATGATTTCTTATAAAGCACACTTGTTAATTTAAGACCACATTTTACATTCATGGTAGCCTTTAGACCATTTTTCAAGTTGTCACACTGACACAAATAAATTTTGGTCTTTTGTCGTTGTTAAATTTTGTTTAGCATACTGTTTACAAACAGTATCAAATATGGCTAAGGAGATCTGTTGAGTGTATTCAAATGGCTTTGTTACCACTGCAGTGCAGCGTGCTGCATTTGGAAAGCAGGAGCAGTGTTTTAATCATCAAGCTCTGCTCCACCCCCTGGAAGACATGCAGGAAAGGTTAATTAACTCATTAAAAGCCCTCCAAGTGAGTAAAGCCATTTTGCCACATGAGCATGGGGCGAGATGATAGTAGCTAACAAATAATTACAACATTTGATTAAAAGAAGCTCACATATTATTTTTAGTTCTTGAGATAGGGTCAGGCTTTTTCCAAGACAATCTTAATACAGTACTCCAATGCCCATATGTATGCATGTTGAAAGAGCAACTGGTCACTAATCATTCTTCCTGTCTGTACTGGCGGTCAAGAAATCCCCTCCTAGCGCGACTCCGAGGAGACAAAATCCAGTGTTCTTGCAGTGTAAAAAATTCATTCCAAAGTTCAATTAAAGTTAATATGAGGTCTTAGTGGTCTGAGTTAGACAAATAGTAAGTAACCATCTTTCAAAGTTGAGTCTTTTTTCCTCTTTTCTTTTAATTCAAAATTTCCCAGAATGTTTCCGTGTTGATCTGCACTGGAGGAAAGGGAACAAGTGGTGGCATTTTCTACTCAGACTTTACTTTGGAAAATCCCTAATTAGTTTGTCTTCCTTGTGCGAGGTTCTGCTCAACTTTATTTCTGTGCATAAAATGACCTCTTCATGCTCAGTAACAAGTCCAACCACCGACTCTTTTAGTACAGAAAGACATGTATTATAGTGCTGTACTAAGATAGACTTAAAGAAATCTGAACCCACCCTTTAATAACAAACTACACACAGAGCAAATGCTCTTGCTCACCAGACTACTGGAGCCAAAGTTACTGCATAGCAACCCTAGCCCATTTAAGAGTAAATGCTATCCCGTGTGCTAGTTGTGTTTTAAAAGGACACAGTAACAGAGAGAATATCTTGTGGCTTATCCCAATCACACTGAAACAGAGGCAGTTTGACAGGAAATAAGATCTCAAGAACTTATTTTGAAAGACAAAAGTATCAACGTCACCTTATCTTACTGACCACTTTATCTCAGTCAACAGTTTTTGTGACAGTTACTCAAGTTTTTTATGCTACTTTGCCAGACAAAATTTTCGAGGGAATATATAAATATTAACCACTACAATGTCATGACATGCCAAGCTGCTGCAAATACTCAATATTAATGTCCCTTGCCAAAAGGGCAGAGAAAAAAAAAACATCCTTATGCTCCTCCAAGTATTGCTCATAAGATGTTAGCCTACACAAGTCAACACTTAAATCTGAACAAAAAAAAGTGCAAAATATTAACAAAAAAATGTATATATATATCAGTATAGACCTACATATTATCAGTGTCTCATTTTGTATATTAGAAGGAGTGTCATTTTAATTCTAGTAGTAATCAATTTGAAACATGGTCCTTATGCGGTCATTGTACAATGTGCAACTGTTTCATTTTAATTGATTTCAGCAGACCCATTCTAGCAAGTTCTTCTGTAGTTGTGACATGTCTTGCAGTGTGGGCATGTATGCTTCATTCATAAAAGGTCATAAATACATGCATTCATAGCTGAAACACAAAAGATCCCATGAGGGATTGTTACCCTCTCTTAAAACCTTGAAATAGTCAAATCATTTAGACAAATATGTTACATTTACAGAAGAATAAAATAAAATAAAAACCCAGAAAAAGCATAGAAAATGTACATTCTTTCCAAAAATTAATTAAGTCCCTCCAAGCAATTTCCTTAACAGCCTTCACTTCATCCTGCCCATAACCTGTAGTCACCAACAGTCACTCCCTGACTGGATTTTTTTCAGATAATGGTGACACTAGCTGAGGGCTGAGCACTCTCCTCGTGGGCATGGCTCTTCAGCAGGTCCTTCATGAACTGCTCCAAAGCAGCAAAGTAGCCCTGACACTGCCACGTGTCATTGTGTGTTCCCTCTGGAAAGATAGCCAGGCGTTTAGTCCGTGCAGGAGACAGCTCATACAGTTGTTTCATCATAACTGGTGGGATGAGCTGGTCTGACAGACCAGACACAAACAGCGAGGGCATGCGGCACAGCGCCACCTGTCGATAGGACAGGAACTGATTCCTATAACACCACAAGGGCAGCAAGCGCATGGGCAAGAAGGAGAAGAGCGTCGCTGCCATGTGAGGGATGCTGAGAAAGGTGTTTTCAACAATAATGGCTGCTACACGGTGAGGGTTGACTGAGGCCAAGCGCACAGCCACAGCGCCTCCTAGTGAACGGCCAAAGAGTACCACCTTTGTCTTGTCCAGATCAGGACGGGTCATGACATAATCCAGTGTGGCTTCTGCATCCAGGTACAGCCCATCCTCACTAGGCTCACCTTCACTTTTTCCATAGCCACGATAGTCCACCAGCACTACATTGGCTTTCAGATTGACCAGCATCAGTAGGGCGTTTGGCACCCTGTGGCCAATATTACCTGCATTACCATGGAAATAAAGGATGGTGGGTGGAGCAGAGGATGTGGGGCTGCTTTGATTGCCAGAGGTGACACCAGGCGGTGTGTCCCCTCCTGTGTAGCGAAGCAGGATGAGGTTGAGCTTCACACCGTCCTTGGTGCGGATGTACACATTCTCATGGGGGATTCCTGTTGGCATGGGAACATAAAGGCGAGAGGAGGAGGGCTGGTCAGGGAAGTAGAGGAGCACATCCTGAAATTTGTAAAGGATGCCAGCCACAGAGGCTAGGATGAGAGCGAGGAGAAAAAATCCTCCATACAGGTGGAAGGTGAGAATGAGGGCCAAAAGGGAGACTCGACAGGCACCCCAGGACCAGGAGGCCAGAGTTAGGGTACAACGCTCCATTGCCCCCCACAGCCTCCACGGTTTCTCCATGGCTAGACACAAGCTGACTCACACAACACACACTCTGTAAATACAGAAAGAACGAAAGACAAAGTACAGGGGAGAGAAAGGGGAATGCTTTAGTGAATCTGTAAAGAAATCGTTTGACAAAGAACACAAATGATCTATTTAACAAACATAAAATAGTTACAGAAGATCACTCCAGCATTAGAACATAACAGTGCACATCATATTCATTATGAATTAGTGTATTTATTAGCTGACCACTTCATTTAAATATAAAGACAAGTACCCAGCAAATTACGTGTGTGATTTTACAGGCCAAAATCAATGTGTAATTGCATGAAACGGAGGAAGAACAAATTCTCACATTTGAGAAATCATGACATTTTATGTAAATGACAATTGATTATCAGAAATGCCACCTATTAATGCTCATGTACTTACAGGATGCACTCAGTCATGTTTGTGGAATGCAGTATGGTATCAATTATATGGAAATATCATTGGAATTGCAAAATGGCCAAGTGTGATATCTAAATCCCAAGAGCTGCATTTTTTTTTGATAAAGGTAAAAAGTGTCACAACATACCATAAATTAAGCTTTGTGGTGCAACAGAGATGCCCCTGCCTACAAATCATGCTCTCAAAATGTAAAGGAACCTGCCTGTTTGATACAAGACCCACACAGGTCACACCGTTTATTCACCCACTGTAACAGCATTGTCCATTTCCATCCTGTGTTCAGGGTAATACACTATGGCTTAACAATATGAAATAGTAATAATAATAATGATGATAATAATAATAATATAAAATCATATTGCAATTACTTTGGCAGATATTGCAAGTGATATGTGAGTCACAATTTGAGTTGGAATGATAATTTTTGCCTTTAATTTTAAGTGAAAAAACATTAAAAATTATGTGATTTTTGTTGGGTCTTGTACTGAACGAGAAATGGATAGTTTATTTTACCCTCATTAAAAAAATTGCAGCTGCTGCGATTTAAATATTGCACAAATTTCTATAATTTCTATACAATTAGCAGTGCTCACTGTTGGTCCTGGAGAGCCCCAGCACTTTTTCTGCCTTACCCTGTTGTACCTACACCTCATTAGATGGATCAGGGGGGGTCGGCCACTCAAGACCAAATGGGCACGAAGTCTTGATGAAGTGTAAACCTCAACTTTAGTTAATTAGGTGTGGACAGACGTAGAAACAGGTGTTGCAAGCATATGCTGTAGCGGTACTCCCCAGCGCCAGGACTGAGCACCACTGAAGGGAATACGTTACGTTAACGTTAGTGTTGCTTGGAATAAACGGAGTATACATAAATATTGCAAGACTTCAAAGTCTCTTGACCCCACCCAGAAGGAAGAGCTGTCAACGGCTGCTGCTAGCCTGAGAATCTCATACGACTAACGTGAAGAGAGCTTTGACAGTTAGCATTAGCTAGCTAACATTAACTAACGTTTAACGTTAATGTCACCAATCACTCAGAAATCTGTGTATGGACTGCCAAAAGAAGTTGTAAAATCAGCGACGGCAACACACTAAGCTTTGAAGTTACCATACAACCAAAGTAAAGCCTATTTAAATTAACGTTAGCTAGCAGTAAGTTAGCTCAAGTTAGCTCAGTAAAAAGCGTGCTAACTATTAAGCTATCATTTGCTCCCTATGTATATGGCTACTGCTATCGGAACTGCTATAACTAGCCACCTAGAGCAGCCACATACTCACCTTTCTCTCATTTTTAGCGCCTCAGCTGCATGAAATGTTGACAAATCGGAGACGCATAGACAGCACAGTCAATGTCATCCAGCTTTGTACCAGTTAATTAAATTACAATGAGCGTTAACTTGTGAAAACGCGAGGTGAGTGACTGACAGCTGCAACCGGCAATGCTAGCTACACAGCTGGTTAGCATTACTGGTGTAGCTTTAATGAGGTCCGTGTTGAGCTCAGCACAAGAAAAAGGTTCCGCGAAAATGGTTTTCACACACATCCATTAAAACAGTGCTGCAACATATTAAAGTGCTGTAATAGGGAGGTCAGCAACCACTACTAATGTCTCACATTAATCTTATAATGTTTATTTATATTATTTATTCATATAATACAACACGCGGGATGTGTGTTTTAATATTGGTCTGGTCTAAAGCTGAGCCATCACCATTGCATGTGCTACTCGACTGTTGTCCACCAGGTGCTGCTCTTAGAAAGAAAATAATAATGACTGTTAATCCAACAGTTCTCAAGTAAACTCCCCAATGTGAGTGGCTGGTTTCGTGATGCTTCATGAATAATGAACAGTGCCATGTATAGAGAGCACGAATAAGCAGGTTACTGTAACTCAGCTATCAGCTAGCAGCATGCATAACAAAGTAAAAAGCAAATACAGGAAGTTGTTTTTTTTAGTTGTATTTTTAATGTTGATGTAGGGATACAAGAATCAGCACTGGCCATTACAAAACTCTGTTACTAGGAAAAACAGTCTCAAAGGTAGAGACTGCTGTAAGCCATTCATTCCTAACACATGGTCCTAATATAAAGCATAACTCCACAGTTTATATTAGCCTGCTGCTTTGATCTCAAAAGCAGACTATAAAAAAAACCTTTTTTTTCCCTTTTTGCCTTGGTAGAGTCACAGTTGACACATCTCACAGCCTACAAAAGTGGGTCAAATTGTAGATGTGACAGGGAGCTGTAACACTCTTGACTGCTGGCAGATAGGGTGATGAGAGAAATGTCCTTGAATGAAATGTCCCTTGATGAAAGAACAGTGAGGGCAGATAGCATGTCAACCTGCACACAACACTCATCTCAGTTACTGTTTAAGTGGGAGAATGCCTCAACCCAGACTCTGATAATAGCCTGAACAGTGTGAGGTCAACAAAATAAACAAAGGTACGATTACTATGGATTTAAGTTGACTCATTGTGATTGTATGTAGAACTGACAATGACTTTACAAATGATGATCTATCGAACTAATCAGAATATGCTTCAAATATGAAGCAAAGTGCTTGTTAAATACATATTTGAATTACTGTATGTTGATGTTTTCCCCTAGTCCTAGGTTGCCCATTGGTATTTCTGTATTTAACATCTTGCTCACACTCAGCGTGACCTTGGAGGAGACAGACAGATTATGTGCAGACTAGCACAGCTGTTGGCCATTCAGCTCTGTCCTTGAGGATCGTTGATTTGATTCTGTGGTGTCTAAGTCAGCATCAAAACCCCTAGATGGAGCATGCTGTTCTATTCTGTTAGATAAAACTCATAGGCTACCAAAATTAAGTTAGTATACACTTGAAAGCATATGGTTAGTGAGAATTAATTACTGCTGAGGCAGAAATGCTGACACTGCAGTAATGAGCCTTTAAGATAGAGCAGAGATGCAGATGAGGAGAGGTTTGCTGTGCACTACTTTGGAGGAGATGGTTAATTTCTACAATGGCATGACCATTGTATAGCTGACCATATACTGTAGGTAAGTGAACAAATTGTTATCTCAACAGATATATGTTTATCTATATACTGTGGTTGGCCTGCTGACAATTTACCAGGCAAATTGCAGGATTTGATGAAAACCTTCCAGGGCCCTTGCCGTTTCAGAACTACAGCTGATAACCTGCATTAGCCTAGCCGTGTTGTTGCACTGTTGTTTGTATAAGAACAAGGAGTTCTGACTCAAGTCCTGATTTTCAGGCCTCGTGACTTGACTTGGACTTGAGAATTGATGACTCCGACTTGGACTCAGACTTAATCATCGACTGCATTGACACTCGGAAGTTGGATACGATTACTCTAACTTTTTTATCTTTGTTGCAGTGTGTGCTTGCATGTCAGCTCTTTGACTGGAGCCCATACTCGGGTAATCTGGACTCGACTTGGAATTGACTCAAACTCGTCTTTGGTGACTTGGACTTGGACTCAGACTCTAACACTGGGGACTCGAGACTCGACTCAGATTCGAGGTTTAGTGACACTACGACAACACTGCTATGACTCAAGTCATTGAGGCTGAAGAATATGGATGAGGGACTTTAGTTTTTCAACTTGAGCAGATTGACTTTGATATTATGTCTATGTTCATACTCCATTCATTATATCCACACACACACACACACACACACACACACACACACACACACACACACACACACACACACACACACACACACACACACACACGTCTGTTTAGGTTATAGGAAATGCTGCATTCTGATGGATTCAGCTTATGAGACTGACAGCTGGCAAGTTCACTCTCTCTTACCTACTACTCAATTACCTTTGACATGGCAGTCAAAACATCTATTACACACACCCAATGATGGGTATATGCACACACACACACACACACACGCACACACAAACACACACACATACAACCTCTCATACACACTTATACACACACACTCTCTGTCGCTCCACTCCCGTATCCCACGACTCAATTACTTGAAATATAGCACTCCAAACAGCTGGAGGGCCCGAGCTCAATAATACAAAGTCAGAGCTGCTATAGGATGAGGAGTGACTTTGATGACCTGGCTGGGCATATCATATCATCAGGCCAAGGGACATGCTTAACATTCACCTCATGCCATGCACCCAGTGGTCTCCTAGGGACACCAGAGCAACAGAATATAAATCTACAAGGCACCCATGGTTCCCACTGATAGAATGAGAAATTGCACTTGGCTTTTATGCAGAAGCCAACCTATTGATACACATTGATTTTTCTGTCAGTCAGCATCTTTTATGACTGGTGCTATGACTTTATCTCTGCAAGTGTAAGAGTTGCTATAATTGCATTTTTGCTGGGTTTGTGAAAGACATAGTTGAGCTTGCCTGACATCATCGTGAGTGATTCTTCTTTGATTTGCAAGTCACTGAATGCCGTGCACAGGGTGATGCAGTGTCCATGGCTACAATGTAAATGTGTTGTCACAGAGACAGAGTCAGAGTCGGAGAGGACAGCTACATAATAGCAACAGTAGGAGCTGTTGTAGATGCAATGGCTCTGTTCAAGTGTCAGTCAACAAGGTTTAATGAGGCTGTATATTGTACTGTGATTACCTTATCGACTAAGCGAGAAGACAAGCCTGCATGGCATTGTGGGCATGTAGCAAAGAGTTCCGTCATGTCAAGTCAGGTTTATTTGAATATTGCCAAATCATAACAGAAGTTATCTCAGGGCACTTTTCATACAGAGGTCTCAACCATCCTCTTTAAAGGATTACTAGATTAGTAGACCCAGCATTCCCCCATGAGCAACACTGGGTGACAGTGGCAAGGAAAAAATGGAAAGAAACCTTGACCAGGAAATAACTCTTGGCAAGACAATAATAATAATAATAATAATAATAATAATAATAATAATAATAATAATAATAATAATAATAATAATACTTGTAGCAGTGGGTGTTGAGTAGGATTTTTGGGGCAGTAGGTGGCTTGCAATCTCAAATCCAGACTGTAGCTCCGGAGGAATAAATACCTGCAGAAAGCAACAAGAGTGCCCTATACACTATATGCCTGCCAGGAATAAATTGGTTGGAAATTGCTGTATGTCTCAGGCAGCAATTAGGGGCCTCCTGTGGTGAAAAGGCAGACGTTTAATACAGGCTACATTTCCCTCATTTCCCTTGCAAATAAACCTTCTGCCACACCTATGATGATATCAATCACTCTAATTAACCTGCAGATATAAGTTTGTGCGTGCATGTGTCTTTGTGTGTGTGCTCCTGTGAAGGACCCATCTTCCTAAAGTGCAAGGAGTGGTGTGGGTTTGGAGAGTAAGGTTGTAAAAAGAACCGTGCCAAATCAAAGCCATTCAGTAAAGTAATAAGGAGTAATAGCGATACAGATGGTAGTTACATGTTGACACAAAGTTTCCTTATCGTGCTGGATTTGAATAAGGTGCTGGATTTTGTGCAATGATGAACTATCCTTCACACGTCTTGGAGCTCCTTCTGTTTACATTCCTCACCGTGTTTACAATATTCAACATGATACGTAGGACATTAAGAAGGATGGTCACCACTTTCCCTAAAATGCTCCTAACATTATCCTTAGCATCTTTAGAGTGGGAATGATGCTATCGAAACCATCATTAATCTCCTGGTCTTTGCCCAACCTCCGGTGATGGTACAGATAGATAATTAGCACATTTGTCCATTGTGCCAGAAATAAAGATGAAACGATGACTTTCTGAGAAAGCTTTCTTTGGCTCTCCAGACACTTGAACAGCCTCCACAGTGGTAACGTAATTTGCCAGAGCTGCTAAATCAAGCAGTCTTCAAGTGGTTTATTAATGCACTTCATCCAAGTCTGTTTCCCTTCCTCATTTATTTGAGATAAGAAAGAATGCAAGCTTTGGTCTTTGACAATCTTTATTTATGATAATGTCATCGCAGAATTTAAGTTAAAGATTTAGTTCAACATTTTGGAGAAGTAAATGAGAGCATGAAAACCACTCTCATGCCTATGCCTAAGTATGAAGTCAAAGCCAGGAAACAATTAGCTTAGCTTAGCTTAGCATAAAGAGTGGTAGCAGGGGAAAGGATATGCCTTCCAGCACCTCTAAAGCTCACCAATTAACATGCTGTGTCACAGTGCTTTAATCCATATACACACAGAGGTTGTCTTTTACAGAGAATTACATGCTGTAACTATTTGAGAATGGTGGCCGGGTGCAATGACTTCACTTTAGATATGCATGAAAATCCAGGATTTTCTGCTGTTTGCCTGGTAAACTTACAGTGATTTGCCTGATGAAGGTCTACTTCTGAACTGTTGCATTAAATTGTTTGTTACAAGTCAGACAGTGTGCAGGATTTTTTGATTGCCACTTTGGATCCACTCATCCTGCTCCTCCTACGCACCTGCCTCACAAAATAGATGTGCAT